AAGAAAAGATAAGTTGGGCTTGTGAGTTTCGTGTGGGTCTCAAGGTGACACAATGGGCCTCAAGAAAAGATAAGTGTTTGGCCCAAAATAAAGAAAAATAAAAAGGACGGTTCTTGTTTTTGGTTAAGTAGCCGCAAAGAGGAAAAAGGGGAGTAAAGAGTCATCTTTTTCAGTGTCAAAACCCTAAGAAAAGAAAGATCTTTTTAATGATAGTGGATGGAACTCGTCAAGGTGTAATCAAGAAGAAAGAATCACAGAAGAATCAAGCAATTAGCGTTGGAAATCGTCCTCGGCTTACTCACGAATCGATCGACGATTTGGAGATGGGTGCTCAACAAACCAACCGATGGTGTGGAGAGCGCAGGGGAAGCCTCTTTCGGTGCTACCGTCATTAATTCCGAGGAGCCTGCGTCTAATGCTCCTGAGAAAGCTCATGGTCTTTCCTGTCAGGCTTAATGGACCTGCTGCTGGGCATGAGTCTTAGAGAGAGTTATGACTTTCCTGTTTCAATGGTACCGGTCTGTCATGCATTGGAGTATGAGCTCTCATCAGATGAAGCAGAAGACTCGGGCGATGCACGTGTCTCGAATAAAGAAGACTCAGCGGAGAGCCTGAAACCTGTGAAATTGGAACCAATAACCAGGAAAGAAAAGACAAAGAGCTTTTAGAGGAAGTTATTACTGAATCAGACAAAGCTGAGTCTGAAGTTGGAGTTGAACCAGAAGGAAAAAAGGTCAGAATCTAGAGCTAAATTAGACAAAGACGAGTCTAAATGTGAAGCTGCATCATGCAGCGATGAGCTTGAGGAAGATACACCATTTTGATCATGAGAATTCAGGTCACACGAAACTAGGCTACGTCAAAATCGAAATTCAAGGCAAAGGTTGGGAATCCTTGTCTCAAGTCGTCTACATCAAGTGTTGAAGCAACCATGAAGGGATGTGTGCAGTTTTTACAGTCAACACTACAGCTCTCCCAAACGTCACTGTCATCGTTCAGAGACTACGTCAAACTGTAAAAGGCATGTGTTCTATTCCCTATGTGCTAATTGTATGAGT